CTCAAGAGGCTTGGCCTCTAACATCGGTAAATAATAACCGATACATCGGGGCGCGGGCCACACGAATTCCTCCGGGAAGGCCGGCCCAACTTCCGCCCGCGTTGCGGAGCCACGGAGGGCTGGGCGACTCTCAAAGAGCATCGATAGGCGAAGAGGAGGTGTACGCGCTATGCACTCGGGTCGACGTGTTGCACGCCTCCGGTGACGCGAGACGTGGGAGGTGAGGGCCGATGGAGGAGTCCGAGAACTCCTGTGGCGCTTGCGATAGGCCTCGCCGCAAGTAAATAATAATTATTATTAATAATAAGTTTTAAAATATATAAATAGTAGTCTTATCATCAAAATATATGATATATATGCTTATTAATTTCTAAAAACTATCCTTAATTATACTAACAATTGTCCCACTAAAATATCATGTTCTAAAAATTTATTCCCAATTATCCTATTAAAGTAACCCACATTAAAGAATTATCCCATAATAAACATTGCTCCACTTCTATTAATAAATATTCTTCTTGACTAATGTAGAATTGGCGAAGAAATTGGAGAAGAATAGGTTTTAGAAGTAGGGGAATAGTTTTGGTCATGTTCGGTCGACCGCAGTACTAGGACGGTCGACCGAATATGTGCACAGACCCTGGGTATGATTCAGGGTTTGGTGCGGTCAACCGTTGCGGTTGATAGCCAACCATGTAATCAAACCCGAGAATCTGGAGTTGGGTGTGGTCGACTGTCGCGGTTGATCGTCGAATCCTATAGTTGATTTTCTAGGTTCTGTGTTTGTCGCGGTCGACTGTCGCGGTCAACTGTCGCAGTCGACCACGTATCGGGTCAGACCTAGTTCTTTTGTTTCCTATTCTGATTTGTTTTTTGAGTTTGGTATAAATACCAAATATAATTTAGGGTTTTATGAGAGCAGTATTGGGGATATTTGGAGTACAGAAAAAGAGAGTTTTCTGGAGCTATTGGTAAGGGTTTTGTTTGAGAGATTGAGAGCTTTGTGTGAGAGATTAGTTTGTGGATTTGTAATCTCTATTTGTGTTTGAGAGATTGAGAGCTTTGTGTGAGAGATTAGTTTGTGGATTTGTAATCTCTATTTGTACTCTTCTTCTCTATTAGTGTGTGAGAGATTAGTTTGTGGATTTGTAATCTCTATTTGTACTCTTCTTCTCTATTAGTGAAAACTCATCTCCTTCTTTCCCCGTGGACGTAGGAAACTTATCGAACCACGTAAAATTTATTTTTTGTATTTGTGCTGTTATTTTGAATTATTTGGCCTTCTCTCGCGGCGTGTGTTTTGGTTCCTCGAAGCACAACAAGTGGTATCAGAGCACAACAAGTGGTATCAGGGCTTTGGCTATGCTTGGGCTAGGTGGAGGAGCAGATCACTTTGAAAGCTCATCTAGGGCTTCAGTTGGTCATAAAGGTGGATTTTTTACTATTATGGATCTCGTTTCCATCGTGTGGGGTTGAGATCTTTCGGAGGCTCTTGTTAGGGTTTTAGTTAGAGGTAAAAATCTCTCTTTTTCAGTTTGGATCTATTCTTCAGTTGTTCTGTATTAGTTTGTTGGTGCTTTAAGAAAGATGACCGAGAAAAAAAGAGTTGTGGAGGGTACTTCTGGCGTGAAGACTGTCCAAAATTTGAGTATTCACTCTATGAAGATAGACGTGGAGGAGTTTAATGGTACGAACAATTTTGGTCTTTGGAGATGTGAAGTCTTGGATGCGCTCAACACGTAAAATTTGAAGGACACTTTGGAGTTAGACGGAAAACCACACGACATTGAGGAGAAGGTTTGGAAGAAGATGAATCGAACGGCGTGTGGTGTGATTAGGTCTGTTTAACACAAGGATTTGAAATATAATGTGATCAATAAGACTTCGACAAAGAAGATTTAGAAGATCCTAGAGAACAAGTATTTGACGAAGAGAGTAAAAAATCGCTTGCATTTGAAGAGGGGGAATTATCACTTCCAGTTAAAGAAGGGAACCTCCATTGGTGATCACATGAACAACTACACAAAGCTTCTTACAGATTTAGCGAATGTAGATGTTATGATTGAAGATAAGGATAAGACGTTGTTTTTTTTTTTTTTGATCGATGAAATAAAGCTTTATTCATCAGTCAAATATAGAAATGTTTGTACATCAAAAACCAGGCAGCCAGAGACTCGACCTCGTAACCAGAGAAAAAAACCACTACAACTTCACAAGTTCATCCTTCATATGTACAGGTATATCCTCATTTAGTATTTTGGAATATATGGAATACTTAATTGCTCGAAAGAGATCAGCAGGCCCCCTCGCTTTTGCTTGAAAAATTCTATAATTCCTCTCTTGCCAAATAGAATAGACAGCAGCAGCAAGAGCCATTCTTTTCATATTCTTCTTAAAGTTCTTACCTCTCAAGTTGTGAGAGTACCAGTGGATGAGCAAGCACCAGTTACAAGTTCTCCAAGTGAATCTCAACCAGTCCATCAACATGTTCCAGACAGCAGCTGAGTAGTGGCATTCGAAGAAGAGATGCTTACAATTTTCAGGCTGACTGGAACACAGAACACATAGATTTGCATCTAATAATCTCAGCCTACACAATCTCTCCTGTGTAAGGAGCCTTGAGTGGTTAACTAACCAGAGGATGAAGGAATGTTTAGGGTAGTTCAGTCTCCCCCATGTAGTTTCTGCCCATACTGCTGAGGTATTAGATTGGTACAGGGCATTGTAGATTGCTGACATACTGATTTTTCCATTGACACAACAAGAATCCATTGAGCTCATCAATACTTCAGTATTGCCAAACTTAGCTAACAACATGTTTCTAACTTTGAGAAGTTGCTTGCACATCCAAGAATCATTGCTCCTATGTTGAACTTGCCAAATATTTCATCGAGAAATATGAGAAATATTATTGAGTTCCTTACCCGACGAGAAATATGAGACATTTGATCTTACTCTTATTAATGGGAATACATCTCTTTTGCATAGTGAGGTCACCGTTACACTTGTGAATTATCAGCTTCGGAAGAAGGATAAGAAGACTTCGATTGATACAGTAGCGGGGGCATTGGTCACAAGAGGAAAGAGTCCAAACCGAAGTAGGAGGCCATAGTCTAGAGGAGCACACCCTGCAGTTGGTAAGAATTAGTGTGCCTTTTGTAAAGAAGATAGGCATTGGAAAGTTGAATGCCCAAAGTTGACAGATCGAGTCGGGAAGAATAAGGGAAAATCTATTCAAGATTCAGAGGTGAATGTTGTCAAGACTAGTGGTGACAATTCAGATTCGGATTCTTCAGGCTATTCGTGCCCTGCACTACCATCAGTTTGTGTTGCTGACTCTGGATGTTGGATACGGGTGTTTCTTACCATATTTATCCTAGGAAGGATTTATTCTCCAGTTTTGAGGAGTTAGAAAGAAGGGATGTCGTGCTCATAGGTAATAATCATGAATGTCCTATTAGTGATATCGGTACTATTCGTATTAGGATGTGTGACGGGGTGATTCGGGAGTTGGATGAAGTGAGGTTCGTTTCGTAGTTAAAAAAGAACATCATTTCACTTAGAGTTTTGGAGGCAGTAGGCCATCGAGCGACCTTAGAGGATGCATCTTTAAAGGTCACATTTGGGTCCATGATTGTGATGAAGGGCGTCAGAAAGAAGAATTTACACTATTTGACTGGGAGCACGGTGATTGGTAGAGAGCTGACGACTTCTTTGGATTTGGCTAGATTGTAGCGTTTATTGATGCTGGGATATTTGATTGTTGATGTCGTGTATGGATTGTTGAGGAATACTTTGACCTGTAGATTCGAGTCTTGTGAGCACATTGGTATGAGCAAGAAGACCAAGGTGGAGTTTGACACTTTTATTCACTGAGCGAAGGGTCTTCCAGGTGGTGTTCATTCAGACATTTGGGGGCCTTCCAAGGAGGTAATAGGTATTTGGTTTCCTGTATTAGTAACTATTCTAGGTATTTGTGGGTTGCAACCAAGTCTCGTTGGTGTGAAGTCCTAGTAGTCAACAACATGTGAAAGAAGTGTATTGGTAGAAAGGTAATATATCGTTCTGATTTTGGTAGGGTTTTTTCTGTATTGTACCGAGCTCATAGCAGTTTGAGACACTTCATTGGAGAGGAAACATTGGGGCGACGAGATGAGGTGGCAGATTTGATGAGCCGTTCCTTGTTGGAGGAGGATCGGTGTTTAATTTTGAGCATTGATTTACAGAGGAGTTCTGGTGTTGAGGCTTCGACATATTGGAGTCATCTTATTTATAGGTTGCTGGCTGCTACGTTTGGAGTATTTGGATCTGGTGAAGCTGCTTTAGATTTTGGGTTGCTTCGAATATTTGGTTACCCAGCATATGGTCACATCGAGGATATGAGATTTGATCCGAATGCACATTTAGGACTCTGAGTCTTATTTGGTTATTAGTTGTTAGACTATGATATTGTTCTGAGTAGGTATGTCATATTTGACTGTCAGCAGGTGAAGAGTTTTAGACAAATCGTTGGAATATCACAGCGGGTGGAGAGTAATGCTACTCTACGTTGGGTGAAGATTACTTCACATTCTCCAGATCATTCTGTATTATTTGGAATTCCAGCTGAGGTGACACAGATTAGGGATCAAGTTGATTTGGATACATATGATGAGTTAGTTGATTCGAGTGCAGCTGATGGACACAGTTTGGATTTACCTATGGTCATTGGTTCACCTCAGGTGGAGGTATTTGGTTCGTTATATTTTGGTGTCATTAGGAGAGTTATCAGTTGCAGATTTGTTAGTGATGTTAGAGAAGGGTTAAAAACTCTTCTCGTTGATTGAGAGCCTTTAGAGGCCATTTGGTGAACTACGTGAGACTTGATTCCTTGGGCAAGAGGATACGTAGGCAGTCATTTTATGATGCAGTCAGTTTGGTGAGTTGATACTGATATTTAGAGCTTGTTCACATTCTCGTTTGGGTTCTCGACTTGTTATGGATTGAGTACGTTGTTGTGATTTTGTTTCACTTCGTACTGGACATAACAAGTGGGACGTTTGGTTGGTATTGGTGTCGGTTCAGTTTTGGGAAAACTTCGTCGATGTGGATAATAGAAAAATTTACTAATAAATTGGAAAAGAACATGTTTTGAAAGCAGGGGAACAGTTTTGGTCATGTTCGGTCGACCACAGTGCTAGGCCAGTCGACCGAATACGTGCACAGACCCTGGGTACAATTCAGGGCTTGGTGCGGTCGACCGTCGTGGTCAACTGGCAAACCCTATAATCAAACCCGAGAGTCTGGAGTTGGGTGCAGTCGACTGCCGCGGTCGACCGTCGAATCCTGCAGTTAATTTTTTGGGTTCTGTATTTATCACGGTCGACCGCGTATCTGGTCAGGCCCAGTTCTTTGTTTCCTGTTCTGATTTGTTTTTTGAGTTTGGTATAAATACCAAACACGATTTAGGGTTTTGTGAGAGCAGTATTGGGGATATTTGGAGCATAGAAAAAGGGAGTTTTATGGATCTATTGGTTAGGGTTTTGTTTGAGAGATTGAGAGATTTGTGTGAGAGATTAGTTTGTGGATTTGTAATCTCTATTTGTACTCTTCTTCTCTATTAGTGAAAACTCATCCCCTTCTTGCCTCGTGGATGTAGGCAACTTGCCGAACCACGTAAACTTTGTTTGTGTTTGTGCCGTTATTTTGGATTGTTTGGCCTTCTCTCGCGGCGTGTGTTTTGGTTCCTCGAAGCATAATAAGTAGTATCAGATCACAACAACTAACACCCCCTTAGTGACATATATGGAGAAAGATGTATTTGGTAATGTTACTAATGATGTTATTATGTACTTTAAAAAAAAAAAAAAACTCGTAAGAAGCAATTGTAAAACTCTTATTTTATACATTATATATACTGACATCGCTTTCTAGAAATCGTGGATCCGCCAATATAGAGGACGCATTAGTGATGAATGAAACTGAGAACTAACCTTCTGTGAAAACACATGAGAAAGAGCTCCTTCTCTCTTGGATGCATCATTTTTCCTGCTCTGTGGCAGTGCCTGGATCTCCTCCATGGTTTGAGATCGCTCATCCCAATCATTGACAAAGTTACTCTGCTCGAATCATTCAATTTGAATAAAAACTTATAGTAAGCAACAATTAGGAATCACCAAAGACTTGGAATCTCACCATGGATCTTCTCTCAGCAATCTCTTGTTTATCTCTAGAGTCTTTTAGGAGAGTACCGCAATTAATTATGACCGAAGATTTTGTGCTTCCATCTTGAGAGAGTCTCAATCGTTGATCCCTTACGCTTGCTTGAACTCTAATTAGAGCTTGCATATATTGGAGAGTGATTTTGGCTTGCTTCCTCACATTGTGGCCTCTCACAAGAGCTTGAAGCTTCACTAGCCCCTTTAGTGCTCTCAATGCTCTCCTTGCCTTCGCTCAAATCAAAATCCATTTTACACGTATACATTACATTAAAGAATTAATATCCGAAAGGTTTCACAACTACTGACAGTTAATTAGCTCTTCGTTTCATTTTATACGAGGTTAATTAGACGTTGTACGCAAAAACTATGATAATAAGTATTGCAGTTAAGCAGTTACATAATTTTTAAAGGTATCTTCAACTGCATCAAAAGTCTAACGTTGTTATGATGAAGATTGAGGTTACGTTTCTACACTCAGACAATAACTATTATATTGATAGTCGATAATTATATAGAAATCAATGAACCAAGTTCGGACTGGACCACCTCTTATCTCGGGCCAACCATAGCAAGGTTAAGGAACTAATTAATCAAGTTAAAGGGGTTTTACCAAACATATATACTCATAGTATAATTTTGTGCAACGTCGTAAGATATAGGGGGCTTTAAGTAGAACATATATAAAACTAGGGCTTTTGTCATATTAGACGACCCTCAAGCCTTTGTTAGATCTTTATTAGATCGAGTCTCAAATCTTTGTTAATTCTTCATTAGAACCTCGATCAAATCTTCACATTTCTAAAGTAAACTCCCAGTTCTTCATATTTATTGAAAACGGGTCTTAGTTAAAACAATTTAATGAATATGAGGGTCTTACTAATTAAAACTTAGCAGATTTTGGGTGATCATATATAATCTAATGGGTTTGAAAGTCTAATTTAGAAATATGAAGATTTGTGTGTCTAATGTAGAAGCAACAAAAATTCAGAGGTCTAATATGACAAAACCCTTGAAAAAAATTTAAGATGGTGTCAAAATAGTCTAACGTCAAATCTCATTGAACAAGGATTAAAGCAGCATAAGAGAAGTGCCAACAGTCCATGAAAAGAATATTCAATCTTCCAATACGTGTAAGTAACATTATAAAACTGTAAGGGTAAATTTCAGAAAATTTCCAATAAGTTTGGTGCATTATGAGATGACCCCATTTTTGGAAAATGTCACTTGACTTAAAAACTTTTGTATTTTTCCTAAATCTATTTCAGATAACCCCCATACTAAGAGGATTATCTCAAAAAAAATCTTGGAGGCTAAGTGCCATCTCCAGTCCTTTAGGGGCATTTATCCGGAGCTGTGGGCTTTTTGAAATTTACCCAAACTACAGGTCTCGAACTTCGTCACAAAATCCACAAGTTCTAAAAGGTGCAGAGGATATATTTTTTTTCTATGATTAATTAATTTCCATAAAAATATGCAAGTAGAATTTACCAAATATCCCCGAAATGCAGATTGGATGAGGACGGCAGCGCAATGCGCTTTAACGAAGCTTGGAGTCGGCCAGATATATTCGAATGGAGAAATGTACCTGCAGTATGAGATAGTGGCTCAATTGCTGGCTTGCCGATCTCACAGATCAGTTCAGGCTAGCCAGCGACGCCATCGCGTTAAGAGCGTCGCTACACCTTTCTCGCTAATGAAGCAACATTGGTCGGACTCAGGGGAATACCGTATTTCCGGAGGAGCTTCACGCTTCTTCAAACGACCCCTGAGCGAACAGAATCATTGGTATTCGCCGAATTCATCCAAAAGTGTAAATCACATCAAAGCCAACAAAATGGTTGTGTTTGCAAGAGAGAGGAATTACCGTCCTCTCCACTGCAACGCGCTTGAGTCTACTATCTACAAGGTACATGCTGCTCTAACGTTGAATATGTTTAAAGTGAGCGTCTTCTCCTCTTCAAAGTGACCCTATGCTCTCACGAACCAATGTTGATCGTGCAGCTTACTAATCGTAGCAACTCCGAATCTCCAAGCCTCGCCTCGCAGAATGTCAGCAAGCACGGCTGGTGGATCGCATAGCTGCTTCTACCTGAATGATATACATCATAAATACCAGAATTGGATGCGAATGAAAGGACAGTCAAAGGTGTATGGACAACCGCACGATTCTCCTTTGTCGGCAGTCTATATCCGCCAAAACTCGCCCCTCGGAGTTCGACCGCATCATTTGAGAGAAGATTTACCGCGTCTTCTTTCCCCTGTGCCGAGCAATCTCACGCTCCTTACCGAGCCTCACTCATGGCGGGACCCCACATAAGTAATCGGGACTCAACTCTGAAAGCTTCTTCAGCAATGAATTCTAAGCAGATGAGGAGCCACTAGCAGCGCTGAGAAAGGTGCGCATCGGCTTACGTCTATATAAGAGGCGAAGATGCAAAACGGGGCCTGCGTGCAGCCCGCCATAGTGCGAGAGCGAGCCGAGTGCTCGCACCCAGGGAGCGCGAGCGGTGCGCGCTCACCTATTCAGACGGCTAGCCAAGGGGTGTGGCCCGGATAGAATTGGTCATAGTCCGGAATTGCGACTGAGCAAAACGGCAAGGGTGAGATAAGGCTCAAGTGTGTAGACCAGGTTCTTCAGCAGTGAATAACTAAGATACCGACAACGGGTTGTTCAATCATATCCAACGAGAAAGACAACCTGATTGTTCGGGGGTGAGTGGCGTTACTCCTGGGTTTCTCGCTCATCAGTCAAAAACGTCCGTAGCGACCCGGAAAGCTGACGGGAGCACTTTGAAGAACTGCCCAGCCCGTTTGCCTGTTGATGCTTCTTGAAACTGAACCGTCTTTCATATTCTATTCCCGAGCCATTGGCTCGCCTCTCCATAACAGCTGTCAGATATGGGACTGGAATCATCAATCAGCACTAGGTCCCAAAGCTGATATCATTCAGGGTCTTGTGCAGATTCGGCAATGAAGAATCCCGAGCCATGCACATCAATTCAACTTTTGCATAGGAATGTCGAACCTAGGACCAATAATGCCCAGTAGATGGGCTCAAGGACCACCTGAAAAGTACCGGACCAACACTCGCCTGAAAGCCCTGCCAGAAGAATGCTGGCAACATCGCGTGAGCAAGAAAGCTCTTCCCATAGCCAACTGAACCGCGGGAAAACACTCAAGAGTAAGGCATCCGAAGACTGAGAACAACGCACCTTCTTTCACCAGAGTTGCAAAACGTCCTGCAACAGGAGCGACCGGGCTCGATCTGGACTTCTCGCTCGGCCAAGGAACGAATACAAACTTGGTTTCCCGCGGGAACTCCCTCTGCGCTGGCGGAATTCGTATAGGTTTGGGCCCCGGCTCTTCCGTCCACCAACTCACTTAACGGCAGTGACAGTCAAAGTATCTCGCTCACGAACACGGATCACTGGAACTACCTCCAATTCTTGGAAAGTAAGTGGCGAACTGCTCTCAAGCTAATCTTCCTCTTGTCCTTCGGGGAGGAGAAATCTGATAACGGCGTTATGATAGTGCAGGTGACCCAGAGGGTTAGATACATATGGGATCATCATGCTTCAAACCGCCCACAACGCTGGTTGCGAAGAAATTACTCTGATTAGGCGGTAATCTACCATCAGAAGACCGGGAAGCCTTGATTGGCATCTCATTGGAGAGCTAACCCTAACTCATCCGTCACGCGGTCAGAAAGGAATTGTGTTATCTAGAATGTACGTCTCCAACATAGGCCAAATCAAGTTGGCGGCAGCTGACGGGGCCGAGTCAGGATTACCTAGTAGCCGGCAATAAGGTACAATTACAGCTCCAACCACTGCTCTTTTCATTTCATCACCCAACTGTTCCCTGCAATTACATAGAAGAATTTATACTCGGTTCATACGTGTGCGACACCACCCCATGGGTAAAGAAGTAGCCCAAACCATGGCATTCGGAACTCCGGCGTGAGGAAGCCTTCTCCGAGTTGGAGAGCTCAACTATTCTCACTGTTTAGAAGCAACTGTAACATTCGTCTGTTGTTCAGGCGTCACGCCCAGTGATGCCCGGGTACGTATAATAGGTGACCACGGAAACAGGACTGATATCCGCTCTTTTATGAACCTAGGTGCGTCTGTCCCATGAGAAACTACCAACTGAACCTGCACAGCTTGTCATCAGTGAGTTCCCAAAGACATCGTTCTTCCAACACCTTATGTCCCCAATGAGTAAAAGGAACAAATGACGAGGAACGGAAGGAATATATAGAAGGCATCTCTCTTCAAATTTAAAAAAACCCACATTGCTCCTCTTGAGAAGTCTAACTGTGTCGGGTCTCCACATAATGTGTATCAACCGGAACAGAAGTCCGGCTTCACTCCTCTCCTAATTCATAAATCCTTGCGCATAAGTGAGACGTAACTTTCGCGAATTGCGGAAAAGAACGATCCAAGTATGAGTGGGCGTACAAACATGAACGCCCCCATCTACGTAACAGGCGACAGGACTCGTTCTGACTAACTGAACCCATGTCAAATTTGCACCGAGAACGGAATATATATCAAATCACCCCGCCCTCAGCCACAGTAATAGTACGACGAAAATGACCTCACGCTACAAACCGAGGTTGTCGCCAATTGGTTGTGTTATGAACAGGAAAGCTACCACCCGGGAGAAAAATCGAGCTGCAATTTAAAGCGAAGGGTACGTAGAATATCTATCTCATAAAGACAAAATAGATTTTCACGGGATTACATTGGCGAAGACGATTTCGAGTTCCTACCCGGTCGGCGCGACGCGGCCGAGGACGGATATAACACGTAAATCACGTGATAACAGTCATAGCCGACCGTATTAGGTGAAGGCAACCGAGATCGCCCCAATATACCGAGGACTTGATTGCGCTAAGCAAAAATCAATATGTCCAACCTAAGCCCGCCGGGATGGGGTATCAGTTCAGTCTCCTTCGTCATTGACCGCGTGCCAAAGGTATCAATCCGTGAGTAAAAATTATAGTAAGATTCTTACCCAAAGCAGGAGCTCACTCGGCGCGATCTGTTCTCAGGAGCCTCCTCCATGCATTGCTGCGAGCAAGCGGTGTAACTTCCCGGAACAAGCGCGAGACCGACGGAGCTTTGGAACCATTCGGGAGGAATTGCAGATTGTCTGAAGGTCTTTGAGCTGGCTTTACGATCAGGTACAGGGTACTTCATACATCACGATAATAGACTACTCCAAGACTGCGCCGATAAAAGGAGCCACGTAATACGCCACTGGACTTCGACATCTTAATAGTACAAAAGATTTTTACCCTTAATAAAGTCTAAATTCAATTGACCTCAACGAATTCGGTGCACCGACCGAACACGATTTAAATTCGTCGCCTTCTGCCCAGTAAGATTGGTTGAATACCGAAATACCCCTCTCTGTGTCGCTCACAGCGCTCCAAATTCAGTTGTTGTCCTCTTAAAGCGACACTATGTCTGTTCCCGCCGCTCTCTATGTCATCATTATGACTTTTACTATCTAATCATCCCGTTACCCTGATAATTTTGACTCAAGATTCTGGCAAATCGAGCCTTTTTGCAGAATTGGTACAATTTTATAATAAAATAGTTCCCTCCACGGAACTTTTTGGGTTTTGCATTCCACTATGCTTGTTACCAATAAATTCAAATCAGGGGTCTTAGGGTTTAAGCTCTTGTGTACTTCAGCACCCAAATTCTTATGGCCATTTTCTCTGAAATAAACCCCTCTTAAGTATAACACTTTTAAGGCTGTTTTGCAACTATAAACCCCTCAAATAACCCTTATATTCCTCTTGCACAAACCCCCATTCTCTTGAGGAACAACAAACATGAACCCAAGCCTCACACACTTTCAGTTACATGATTATGGCATGAAAAGTCGCCTCCAATAACATTTCAAACCCAACAAGCTTTTTGAGCAACAATAAAGGCCCCTAGATTCTTCGTAAAAAAATAATAATTATTTATATAATATACCCAATATAATATAACCCCGAAGTGCTTTATTCACCTTTTAGAACCTTAGCTGTATTCACAGGCATTGTAAGACTATTGGTATCTTTGCCAATTGGAAGAGATAAGGGTGTTTGTACATGAGAGAAATTACCAAATCAAATGCAGTTCCTTCGAGGCTCAGCGAAATGGAGCCAACTCCTCGTTTTGAAAGGGAAAGTGATATCAGCAAAAATGGGTGCGTTTACCCGCAAAAAGTCAAATTTCTTGAGGCATTGATGGGCTTTTTATGGAGAGAAAGAACTGTGTGTATGTGAAGACCAGAATGAAAAACCGGTTGGCGAAATTCGGCTTTGAGGGGGAAGTTCTTGCGCGTGTGAAAGTTTAATTATAAGAGGGGGGCCGATACACAAGAGGCCAAAAAAGGAGGGAAATCAAGACGAACGTGAAGGGAGAAACACCCAGGCGGGTCTCGGCATGCCTAGACACCCCAAGGGTCGCTCCGCATCGCCGATCACCCCGGCACTCTGTTTGCCAACGCCGAAGCTTTCTTTCTTGCTGCTGCTCTCGTGGTAGGTCTGTGGGTTGGTTCTGGCTGGTGTTTTCTTGCGGAAACAGCCATCGCCTCTTCTCTCTCTTCTGCACACCCAAACAATATCAAAGCACAACTACATATAGGGGGGGGGGGGGAAAAAGGAGGATTAATTATATATAGCAAGTAAAGTACCTTTTCGTCATCGTCTCTGTCTTTAGAAGGAGATCTAAATGCTCTTTTGACAGCGGTGAGCCAAGAGCTCCCTCCTTTCTTCCCCATTTAACCAATTGTTGCTAGTCTCGTCAACTGATCTCACTAGCTTCAATATTGAAGCAAATTACTTTTCAGTCGTCACCATGAGCGCGAGGCTATAGCAAGCTTAGCTGGAGCACTTGGAGACCTATGATAAGCGGAGGGACAATTTTAAGGGACAGCTTTTAGTTATCGTACGTACACACAGAGATAACGTAATAGTGTGTGAAGTTCGACATATATTCTTGCTGCGCTTCTTTTTTTAGTGTTGGGCGCAACGGTAGAGATCGACGGAGACCAAACCCACATGGGGGGGTGGGCGCACCACCCGTGCCTGGCTGTGGAGTGGGTCCCATGGGTTTAGTGCCGTTTAAATTGGGATATCACAATGCATTATTGAGAGAGTGAGACCCCCCCTAACATCATTTTCCAATTACTAATATTGTCAGTTCATAATTAGTGAAATTCTAATATAGAACGCAAAGTAATATCTTTCTCAGTATACTTAAAGATTTAAGTATACTATATCAAACCTTTGGAGTTTTGAGGACACCCCCACATGTTCTGATATCATCTTAAAGATTTTTTACTATGTTATAACTCCCTTCCACTATATCAAACCTTTGGAGTTTTGAGGACCAGAGGAAAAATCTCATTTATTACATACATCTTATAGTAATAATGTAGTATAAAATGTAAGATATGGTTAGCACTCTGTTAGAAGATGGTTGACTCTTTTAGTGTCGAAACAATCCTATATTAATTTATGATAAGCCAAGTATTGGAATAATAAAAACCGATAGCCCTAGCCTCGGCATAAATCTGACAAGGGCTAGCTGCAAAGGATAAGCAGAGTTGGTACATGATTAAAACTTTACAGAGAAATTAAGGAGATCACGAGAAGTAAGAGGAGAAGTTGAAGGCCAAAATCAAGTTGGGATATGTAGCTAGCTGGCTGCTGGATGCACATGATGATAATCTCTTTATCTAAAGTTTTTAATGAGACTGGTCCATGCACAATATATGAGTGATCCCCCTTGCATTATCTTGGTGCACCTACCCTCCATTTATTGTGCATTTTAGGTGGGTAGTTATTAGGAATGACTCCTAAATTAGTGTCCTATCCCTCAAAAAATTCTCGTATTGTAATAGTACAAAAATATACTTTTTTGGGGAGAAGTTGTTAGGGATTTTATGAAGATTAATCTGCGGAATTAAATACTAAATGAATAACGACGCCAATAAAAATACCACAAGCAAACATACACCAAGATTTAACGTAGTTCGGTAAATCGTGCCTACGTTCACGGGACAATCTAGAGAGAAATATTTCACTATGAATCAAATAGTACAATCCCTCCAATTTATACCTGAACTTGAGGATTAAATCACTAGAAAAAGATACAGTGTTACCTCTAGGGTAAAAAAACTCTAAAATCCATCTCACTGAAAATTTCTAACATCCACGGAGAAACCAATAATGTACCCTCGACGGCGTCGTCATTCTGAAAACAACGAGTTTTGAATCACTGCAATCGGATAACCGAGCTATACGGAATCTGAACTTTTCTCTCTCCCCCCTCTTTTCTTCTCTCGGGGGTACTATTCACGGTTTACTGTAACACTAAATTTTTTATAGGTTTCTCAGGAATAGAATTCCTTTATAAAAAAAATTTATTTTTAGGTCCTCCAAAACTATTCCTATTACAATTAGATCTTCCAAATACTCTTTTAAATAGAATTTTAATTCATGTGGACCTCATGTGGGTCTTATCTTGGACTGGACCCACAACAATCTCCCCCTCTAGCCCAACGAGAGGGTATGCCAATCTGTAACTCCTCAACGTGAGTTCATGTCGGCCAATCGCTGACACAACTCGGTCTTCTCTCTGGAAAAAATCTGTTAATTTTTTATCTTTGTGAATCTTCTGTAGCTTTAGCTCATCTTTCTCAACGGCTTCTCTAAGCCAATGATATATCACATCAATGTGTTCGTCTTGGAATGGAATGTAGAATTCTTGCTCAAATCAAGAGTACTTTGATTACCAATAAAGTTTTAATATTGTCCTGCTGCAAGCCTAACTCCTACAGAAATCTTCTCAATTAAATCATCTCCTTACCGGCTTCTGCAGCTGCAATATATTTCGCCTTTGTTGTAAATAAAGAAACACACTTCTGTAACCTGGACTGTCAAGATGTTGCTCCTCTTGCAAAAGCGAACAACCAACCTGAGATAGACTTGCTGTGATCGAGATCACCTTCCAGCATCTGCAAAACTATATAATACTGCCTTCGAACCTCCAAAACTCAAACACAATCTGGAACTATCTTTTAAATATTTTAAGATTCACTTTACACCTTCCCAATGAACTTTCCCTGAGTTAGAAAGAAATATGTTCACAACGCTAACTGCATGAGCTATATCTGGCCGAGTGAAAACCATAGCATACATCAAACTCCCTACAGCTGAAGAGTAAGAAATATTCTCCATCTCACTCTTTTCCTCATCTGTAGTCGAGCAAAGCTTTTTGTTAAACTTTAAATGACCTGCAAGAGGAGTATTGACTGACTTGGCATCTTTTATCTTGAATCTATCAAGTAGCCGTACAACATATTTCTCCTATGATAACCACAACTTCCTGCCTTTTCTGTCATGAGCAATATCCATACTAAGAATTCGCTATGCCGAGGCCAAATCCTTCATGTTAAAAGATTTAAATAACTCTTTTTTCAGCCCACTGATTATCTGACTATCCTGACCAACAATCAACATATCGTCCACATAAAGCAAAAGGATAATGAAGCTAGAATCTAAAATTCTCCTGAAATATACACACAAATCTACAACTATCCTCTGGTAGCCATGACTCAATATGAAAGAATCAAATTTATTGTACCACAGTCTAAGTGCTTGCTTCAAATCATAGAGGCTCTTCTGCAACCTGCAAACGATGTGTTCTTTTTCCTTCACTTCAAAACCCTCCGGCTGCTCCATGTAGATCTCCTCCTCAAAATCACCATGAAGGAATGTAGTCTTCACATCAAGCTGCTCAAAACTAGCTGCTAACCCTAAGATAACTCTAATGGATGTCATCTTCACAACCGGTGATTCTGACCAAAGCTGGCTTTATATTTCTGAATCTCTTTGTAGCCATCATTCTTTAACTTGAACACCCACTTGTTCTTCAAAGCTTTTTTGTCCTTCGGCAAATCCACCAACTCATAAGTATCGTTCTTCTCAAGAGACTTCGTTCTTCAAAGCTTTTTTGTCCTTCGGCAAATCCACCAACTCATAAGTATCGTTCTTCTCAAGAGACTTCATCTCTTCCTTCATAGCACTCATAAGTATCGTTCTTCTCAAGAGACTTCATCTCTTCCTTCATAGCCTGGAACCATCTGTCCTTGTATTTATGAGTATGTGCCTCCTAAAAGCTTTCTGGCTACCCCTCTTCTATCAACAAAGAATACCCTGAAAGAGGATATCTCATGGATGGTCGATGCTCTCTACTGATCTCCTAAGTTGAGGCTCTGCAAACTCCTGCTGCTAGTGATGCCCCCCTTGTTGAGGAGCCTCCTGCTCGTGATCCTGATCACTGTATCCCTGCTCTAGTATCTGATCATCATCATCAACATTATAATCATGCACCTACTCTGTATCTGTAGGATGTAACTGTACTGGAAATGAAACGGGTGTCATATCTGGAATCTCACTAGCAACACTCTCTGACTGCTCTGCTCTCCCGAGATCTGCAATAGTCTAATCCTCTTGAAAAATCACATCCGCTCGTCTGATAATTCGTCTCTTTTCTGGATCGCATAGTTTATAGTCGAACTCATCTTCTTCATAACCAAGAAAGATGCAAGGAACCTCTCTATCATCAAACTTCTGTCTCTTCTCCTTCGGAATGTGTGTAAACACCTTGCAACCAAATACCTTCAGATGAGAATAGAAAATATTTTTTTGGGACTAAACTCTCTCTGGAATATCAAAATCCAAAGGAACTGAAGGTGACCTGTTGATTATGTAGCATGGAGTACGAACAACTTTAGCCCAGAAGCTCTTAGGTAACTTCGCCATCTTCAACATGCATCTGATTTTCTCTACAATGGTCATGTTGTACCTCTCTACAACTCTATTATGCTGCATTGTGCCGGGCTCTATCCTCTGATGTCGAATACCATGCTTGGAACAATAATCTTTAAACTCAATGGAAGTGTACTCTCCTCTATTATCGGTGTGCAAAACTTCAACTTCTTTCCTATCTGCCTCTCCACCATGCCATGAAACTGCTGGAAGACTGAAAACACATGGTCTTTTGTCCTTAATATGAAGACACACATCATCCATGATGCATCATCAATAAATATGATAAAATACTTATTGCTACCTAAGGACTCCACCTCAATAGGACCACAAACATTAGAATAAATCAAATCCAAGATATTATCTTTTTTTAGTAGACTTACTAAAAGAAACTCTATGTTATTTTCCAAACAAATAATAATCACAAGGGGTGAGTGATGAATCTTTAACAAAGGGAATAAGAGACTTCTTTGCTAATATTTGCAACCCTTTCTCGCTCATGTGCCCGAGCTTCCTATGCCACAAACTGAGAGTGTCACCGTCTTGAGCCACGCTCAAAGAATCATATGAAGCCTTTACTTGAGTCTTATATAAATTACAACATATACTTTCTCTAGCCACCACAAGAGAATATTTTCCTCCACCTAATTGAATTTCATATTTCATTTGGTCCAAAGTAAGACCCGAAATCAAGTTGAGCCACAAATTAAGAACATACCGCACATTCTTTAAAATTAATGTGCATCTGGTATCTGTTTGCAAGTGTATATCACCAAGTCTCATAATCTTCAAGTAGGTGGTATTGTCCATCTTCACATTGCCAAAGTCACTTGCTTTATACGACGTGAAAAGGTCTTGATTGGAGGTAGCATGACATGTAGCTCCTGTATCCACTATCCACTCGGAATTCTGACTTGTTACATGCATACAGTCTTATTCCCTGCAAATGAGAATAACATCAGTCTCAGACAAAATAGTTATAGTGTCACTGTCAGCTTTCTTCTTCCCATCTTTTTTTTCATCTTTGTTCCTAACATTAGTCTCAGACAAAATAGTTGTAGTGTCACTGCCAGCTTTCTTCTTCTCATCTTTCTTTTCATCTTTGTTCCTAGCTTGCTCTTTCTTCAATGCCTAACAA